GTTATTTAGTTTCCATATGTTTATGGGGTTCTTTGTCATTAATTTCCAATGGGTTTTTGTCATTAGTTTCCAATTTTATCGTGCTATGTTCAGATAATATGCATGGAATTATTTCAATTTCTTTGCATTTACTTAACCATGTTCTGTGAGTTAGTATATGATCTATTGTAGAGAATGACCCATGTACAGCTGAGAAGAATGTGTTTTCTGATGTTGTTGGGTGGAAAACTCTGTACATATCTACTAGGTCCATTTTTTCACAAGTTTGATTTAGATCTGTTATTTCTTTGCTAATTTTTTGTTTGGTTGATCTGTCTCTGTAACAATGGGGTGTCAGGTGCCTATTTATAACTGTATTATGGTTTATTTCATTTTTCATGTCTATTAAAATTTGTTTTACATAGTTGGGTGCTCTTATATGTAGTGCAAATATATTTAGGATTGCAATTTTTTCCTCTTGAATTTTTCCCCTAACAATATGCAGTGACCTTCTTTATCTCTTTTGATCATTCTTGGTTTGAAGTTCACATTGTCTGCAAACAAAATAGCTATCCCTTTTTTCTGGGTTCCTATTGCATGGAGTATTGTTTTCCATGCATTGACTTTTAGTCTGTGAGTTTCCTTTTTGAGTTAAATGTTTCTTATTCACAGAATATTGTTAGATTTTGTTTCTTAATCCATGCTGCCAGTCTGTTTCTTTTTATTGTTGAGTTGAGACCACTTACATTGATGGATATAGCTGATAAGTACTGACTGATCACTGTCATGTTATCTTCTGTTGTTGGTTTTCTACTTTTTCTATTTGTTTGCCTTGCTTAGTGGTTTCTTTTTGTTGTTATTCCTGGGACTGTAGTTATCCTTGTGTCTTTCTAGAGTGGTTTTTAGTACTCTTTGTAGTGCTGGCTTGGTAACCATGAATTTCTTAAGTCGTTCTTGGTCATGGAAGTATCTTACTATTTTCAAAGATAGTTTCACAGGATACATCAATCTAGTTTGAAAGTTGTTTTCCTTCAGGACCTGAAATACTTCACTCCAAGCTCTTCCTAACTTGAAGGTTTGTGTTGAGAAGTCTGCCGTGATTCTAATAGGTTTTCCTTCATAAGTGACCTGTTTTCTTTTTTTTTTTTTTTTTTTTTTTTTTTCTGACAGCCTTTAGTAGTTGGTTCTTGTGCTGAATTTCTAATTATTATATGTCTGGGTAAAGATTTATCTTGGTTATGATTCATTGGGGTTCAGTATACCCCACTTATCTATATCTCAGATTCTCTTCCCATGTTTGGAAATTTTTCTGTTATTATTTCTGCAAATAGTCTTCACAGGTCATTTGTGTTGACTCCTGCTTTTTCATTTTCACTGTCAATCTTATGTTGTTTCTCTTTGCATCATCTTGCAGCAGTTGAACTGTTGTTTCCTGGTTCCTTATTATTTTTAAGGGATCTTTTCGTTCGTGGTTGTAGTCTTCCATCCTGTCTTCAAGGTCTGAGAGTCTATCTTCAGTTTCATTCAAATGGTTTTGCCAGCTTCCAATAGAATTTTTAATTTCTTGAATATTCCTTTGTGTCTGTTTCATGCATTCTGTCTTATGTTGTTCATTCAAGGTTTCCATTACTTTATGTTCTTCCATTTTTATTTAGATCCTCTTTTGTTACACTCCATGTTTCACAATGTTTGTCGTTTCATTTTTTACCTGAGATATTATTTACGATGATTTCCTCAAACTTCATGGAGTTGTTTTTTCACTTCATTTACTATCGTTTCAGAAAGTTCAGTAGTACAATTTCCAGTATCTTCCATATCAGTGTCTCTTGGGTTTGTTCTCAGTGGTCTAGGGTATTGAGATTGCCTCTTGCTTTTTCATTTTATATTTTCCTCTAGGACCAGTGTGGATGGTCAGGCACCCTCCTGATGGGTTGCACTGGAATGCTGCCCTGGAAAGAGTCTCAATCCTCTGATATCCCCATGACTATCTGGGATGCACCCCCGACCTATGGTGCCAGATTCTTGTGCTCTGTAGGCTGGCCAGGAGTTCCCCTAATGTATTGCACTGGGTTGCCCTGAGATGCTAGGCTGGGCAGAGGTTGGATCCTCTTGCTGCTAGCAGGATCACACTCCAGGAGTATGTTACTGGGGCCTAGAACCTGGTAGAGAACTTCTGGCACCCAGCTGGCTAGTTGGATCACAGCCCCTGTGGGTCACCAGGGCCTAGTACCTGGCTGGGTGGAATTCAAAACCTCCAGGATCCAGGCAGCTAGACAGCATGACCCCAAGTGTGGCATCGCCTGGGCCTTGCCTCTGGCTGGGAGGAGTTCAGAGCCTCTGGAGTACACAGCTCACCTGAGCATGTTCCTAGTATATAATCGATAAATTATTTTGGATATTTTACTTGAACTATAAATAAAAGTATCCTAAACTGTTGTTTATCTTTCTGTGTTTTTATGTAGTTCACATTGAATTTTGGGGGATATCTCAGAGATGTAGTATATAACTTAGCTTGTTACAGAAATTATTGAAAGGAATTTACTTTTCCCAAAAGTTTACTTAGTGTTGCTTTAATATTACATCCAATCTTCTGGAAGATACTAGATGTTTTCCAGAGTATTTCTCTTAAAATTTTCTGGCATTTTTACATAAATACTATTTCTTGGTTTTCTTTCCTGTTTTCCTTTTTAGTTTTTCTTTTGCAGACTTAATAGGTTAATTTCCTCTGTACCAGAATTTGCTATTTCAGGATAGTGGGACAAATCAAGGCTCTCAGGAGTAACAACAAGGGAGACACTGTCACATGCCAAGGAGATAAATATCTGAGTAGCTGAATCCAGTCCCTTCTAAGAAAATGGATTCATGTGACCTTTTACTTATTATTTGGTATAGTTTTCCAGCAGGAAGAAGGAGTGGTATTTTGGCTGAGAGAATAATGTAATGGGTTGGGCTAAAACCTAAGATTAAACCTGGCTTCTAAGCAAGAAAGAATCCGATAATGGAGTCTTGATGGACCACTTGTCAGGACTGTCTTTAAAAGCACAAAAGTCTGCATTTATTTTCAGACATTAGGATTTGCAGCTAATATTTTAAAATACATGCACAGGGCCACCAAAATTTAAGCACATTGTTTATCCATTTTAAAATTTAAGAAGGCTTTCAAATCTTGTAATAATTGAATTTTATATAATAAAGCTACTTGTAAGAAAACACTGTTGCACATTTTCCTTTTTTTATGTCTTTGGTTAAACTATTTAATTCAATGTATTTAACATAAATGCATTTTTTAGGAAGACAAAAAAATTTTTCCATTTTTAAATTATTGTGCATTTTCTTTTATTAGTGATAAAGCTTATAAAATCTCAAGGTATTTGAAGGATACATTAGATGTTAAATGAAGAGCAGTCATTAAAATGAAAAATTATAATTTTTATATACATCAAAAGACTTCCTTTATATTACTTTGGACTTTTACCTAGGAATTATGCATGATTTTAGAAATTCTACGTATTGGTAAAAAAAAAATCTGAAAATTTACCAAATTCAAGAATACTAATAACATACATTCTCATACAGCCAAAATTTAAGGGTTTACCATCCTATGGGCAATGTTTTAATAAGATTTACATAAGTAATCTTAGCCAATCTGCAAATCCTTACGGTATAAATATTATTAGCTTTCATTTGGCAGATAAGTCAACTGAGACACAAAATGTTCAACAAATCTGCCTGAGGTCATAGAATCAGTGCAGAGTCAGCCCAAAGACTGAAGAAACACTTGTAAAATTATCCCAGCCAGTTCTACCCATGGAAAGTGTACACAGCTGTCGAGCGTCTGAGCTAAAGGTGCCAGAAGGTCTACCCAACTACATCACCTCCAATGGTTTACAGCACTACCCACAGTTCCCACCAACAAGGAGAGCATTTTGTGCTAAGGTACTGACGCTGGGCGATGTATTAAAAAGATTATCTAAGAAGCATCGTCCACAATGGTAGTAAAACAAAGTAGACACATTCTAGGGAAACTTGGATGATAAAAGGAGAAAAAAGAAAATAAAAAAAGCTGCTGGAGGTAAAACATCAAAGTTCATATTTTGGTTCCTGAAGATGGTTCCAATTTGGCTTTGTTTAGATATAAAAATTATTCATGTCAAGTTAACTCCGTCTATGAGATACATAACTACACTAGACCATTAAAGCTATGCCATTGCAAATGGAAGTTTGATTAATAGAAAATTTATCTATGTGTAATTTGTATTTTCTTTGTACTTACTTTTTTGTCAAGTTCTTAAATATGGGTCCCACATATAGACCCCTCTTGGTATATGAAATTTCACATGTGTCTGTGAGAATACATGGCACCCTAAGAAGATTGTCCAGACTCACCAGATTCTCACAAATACATGTCAACACCCCCAAACTGTCAGTTAGTATAAAACCAACCTACCACAGTGTGTGTCTTACCTGTCACTTAAAATTAGTGACTGCAGGACATGGCCCTAACCAGCTAAGACAATATGACATACAAATGTTCAAATTGGGCTTCTTCAGGAGCCATACAGGGCTACTTTGAAGCATTTTAGAAAGGAAAATATGGCACTGAAAATGATCGGGACCAGGATTACATCACATACCCCTGGCTCGCTACCCCTGCTCTTTGGGTTTTCACTGTTTAGACAACAGATGCAACTATTCAGGATTGATGCTGTAAGTAAAGACGACAACAAACTGAGATGAGTATGTCAATAGATGAGCTCAGAAAAGAGTTAGGCAATGGAAGTCGATTAATTAAAAATGCTTTCCAAAATGAACAAACCAGTCCCACTTTCTCCGTGAGCTATTACGAGGTGCTTTTCAGTTCTTAAGACATTTTCCTTACTCTGTGTTTAACAACAAATGCTGGCCAATAACTGTGAGTTAATTGAAAAGGATTGTTTTCTAGTTGCCAAGAAACAGTGGTGCTTTCTTACATTATGCAGGCCATTATGTGCGCTGATCAAGCTTCCTGATTTTTCTTTTAGGGTTTAAGAACATAGGCTGCTGCAATTTAGCCGTCCCTTGAGGAGAGGAGCACAAATCAAGAAGGCTTACAAAAGTGTTGTTCCATTTTGATTGTTCAGGTAAGATTTGGATTTGACAGTACTTACCTTCTTCTGTGTATGTAACTTCTAGATCACTCACATGCTTTCATGTTTAGTGAAAGAACAGATTTTAAATAATCTTTTAACTTGAGGTAGTGGCATGTAAAATCATATTGAACTGATTTTCTTCCAACTGAAGAGTCAAGGGAGGGGGAGATAAAGAGGCAGAGATACCATCATCTGTGAAAGTAGCTATGCACTTTGTTCTGGGTTTCAGAGTCATAAATAAATGTTAACGAAGAAGACACTGTGAATGTGTTTGGTGTAGAAATCTTGTTATTATTACTGTGGAAACAGATATAATTATTTCTCTTTGGAGGGACGACTTCAAATCTTGTTTGACTGGTTCCAACTGTGAAATGGGATTTGTATTTTGTCAACTTCAAAAAGATTCGTTGATCTTATGCAGAACTAAAACTTAGTATGGTCTCTCAAAACAACTCCTGTATTCATTATCTTCCTTTTTCTGTTGACTGTATTTTTGATGATTTTATCTTGATAATTAACACAAAATCAGGGGCAACATATTTAATGATGTTTATTAAAGGTATGAGATAAATTTTTTGAAAATGTCAACCTTAATCCCAAAGAGGGGAAACAGCAGCTCTTGGATCAGTTATTAGCTCCCACACTCAGAAATGCAGTCATCTTCCTAGTGTTCAGGAGTTAATGTTCTCAAAGGCTGAAGGCGACCTATCAACATGAATTTGCATGTCACATCACCGAGGCTAGTGCGCTTCCCTTTGAAATCAGGTGTTACCAACTCTGCAGATGAATCTAGTTGAATGTGGTTACTGTAGATCCTTCTTTCAAAGTCCTCTTTTACCTCCTCTCTTGCATGCTTCTGGGTTTCCTTTAAGAGAAAGATCACCAAAATGGATACAAGTCAGGTCAAATATTTGTTGTCTAATTAGTTAAGTCTCAATTTGTTCAGGCTTTGAAACCACCTACATATAAATGTGACCTCTATAATGTAAACCCTCCCTGATGGAGGAAATAAATTATTTCAGCATGCCTTCACCTGATGATGTGATTTGGGTTTTCCACAAATAAAACAAGACTTTGGTGAGGAAACTATTTCATGGACTAGTGTTGATGAAATGATAGTTGAATATGAACATGAAATCCATTTATAAGGTTTTAACTCATGAAACTAGAATTCTTAATATTTTTCAATTAACCAAAAGAATAATATCATTAGCTCTCACAAATTCATTGCACCGGTTTTTATTTACCTAATAGTAGAACTGGAACAGCTCCTTTAAATAAATGCACAATTTGTGATTAAATAGGGTATGACTTACGACCATTTTTAATTTTATCATGATTGTGCTTTTCTCCAGGTAAGACATAATCAAACAGTTCCATTCTAGTTTATATTTATTTCTTTACCTTGTTAAAAAAGTACTCTTTATCTTAAAAACATCTTTTGATATTCATGGTACTGTGGTGTTAAAAATATCCATGCTGCTAATTTTTCACTTAGTCACTTCTTTGCAATTGTTAGAGCAAGGTGATGTGATTATGTGGGGTGGGGCAGGACAGGAGAAGTCAGACTGACAGTATTTCAGGGACAGGTTTCCATACCGAGTGCACTGTTGCTCCCTTGACTGCAAACAGAGTGAATGTGGTATTTTGAAAGTAACTACCAGAGAAAATATTTAATAGTACAACAGAAAATCTTGATTTCTTTTCTGAGTAGTATTTTCATATCAACTTGCTTCTCCATGGATTAACAATTTTGCTCAAAGACCAAAGTCTATCTAGGTTAGGATGGAAATGAGATCTATAAAACCTTAATTAAGAAGAGATTGGATTCTGCTGATAGTTTTGTAGAACGCAATGACAAAGTACTATATATTTTGAGAAGCACTTAGTGATTGTTACATCTAATGGCCTTGAAATGTTATTTTAAAGTCCTCTAGAGTCTGAAAAGCATAAAGAAAGATGGATGTGTGAAAGTTGGGGGAACAGTTAGCTTGTGGTGTTGGAAAAATAAACTTTATTTTCCCTAGCTTGTACTACTGAGTTTGTCTCTAACAACTCTGAAACAGGTAGTTTAAGAGGCTTCAGCAAACACTTCGTAGCAAAACATAGCATCCTTATAGCATTATGCTAATCTATCTTTCAAGAGTGGAGTCCAGTGTGAGGTTATTTTGACATATCACATTTATAGTGAACTTAGGATGGGTTTGATGTCAATTCTTTTATTGCAGTTACTCAGCATTTCTTGCATTGTTCTAGAATTACTTCGGAGATCCTTGCCAAATAGCTTATTAACTTTTAATGGTACCTATTTTTTCTATCTTTGGTAAATGGGGATATTCGCCTTTTGGCACATCGCTTCTATGGCATTTCAAAGTTTTCTAGAAACATATTTTAGCTTTTAACTGCCAATTTCCCAATAACCTATTGGTACAAAGTTTCTTTAACTTTAGAAGTTCAGAATAATATGTATAGTAATAAAGTGCTTTCTGATTCTCTGCCTCCCTAAAAATGTTCTCTTGATAGTACTAGATCACTTTCTAAATATATAGGATGACACAATTTAGTTTAGTAATTATAATTGTTGTGGTTTTTTAATACATAATTAATACCAACATTTGTCTTACCCTGATAAGCAATAGGGACATTTCTTTCTCTTCCCTTAAATATTCTGTTAACTTGAGATTTTAACTCTCTCCTTAACTGCAGTGATAGGATTTTTGAACCACTCTTGTATGTTCTTCTTTCACGTTTGGTACATGCATTTGTAAAACCTAAAAGTAAGCTCTAACTCCGTACACACACATCTTTTGCTCTGACAAGCTGGAAGTTTCTGAATATAATTTTAGTTTTCACAGCAGAGGGTGGGGGGAAATCCTGGCATTTAGTGAACGAAGGACAGGGAGGCTGCTAAGCATCCTAAATGCACAGGATCTCCCCAAGACAAAATGTCTATTCCAAATGCCAACTGTATGAAATCCTGCTTTACAGGCCTTACATATCTTATTGTGGCTAAATGTCTGATCATAGGTCAGAATTTTGGGCTGAGAACATCTCAGAATTTTATGTGACTTGATTCACTTTGGTTTTTTTCTTTCTCATATTGGCCTGTAGCATCACACCTTTGAAGTTTCTGGAACCTGCATGTTTAAGTTGAAGAATCGTGATCTGGCTGGATTATACCATTTTCCCTTCCTTGATTATTACCAGTACCAAAGTGACAATGGTCACATTATCTGGAAGCTCATGGCATGTCCATATTACTAAATAGTGCTTTGTCTGAATGACTTGTGGGTCACTTCCCTCATTGCTTCTACTTGTGGATAATGAAGAATTCATTAAGGCAAGACAATAATCGTCTGTTTAATCACTGTGCTCCTGGATTTCTGTGTCTAAATGCATTCTTCATCCATTCATCCCCCAGACATTTATTGAGCATTTATGTTCCAGAGAATGTTTTATATTTGAAATTCAGTAGCAAATAAACTTAAAATCTTACTTTTATGGTGATAATAAGAAGGTACAAAAGTCCTTCTATCTTTTGACCATTTGATCCTGCTCTATTAAATGTTAAAAATTAAACACCAGCAATAATGAAAGCTAATGAATTCTAAGTACTATAATTACAAGGGTTTTCTTTGCTTCCACACAAATCCTCTATTTCCTGGGAACTATCAAGAACCCTTACAGCAATTTCTGAAATCCACATTTTGCATGTGTTACTCTATTTTCATTTATAACTTGCTCACCATGCCATCTACAGACTTTGTACTGACCGTGTAGAGAATTTTGAATGAAGGGAATAAAATACTTGATGAGCTGAAGTAGTGTCAGTAAGAATCATTGATGTGTCTGTTGAAGAAGAAATCATAAAAATAAGGATGGAAAATTGTGAGAGGAAACAGTCAACTCAGGAACACACCACTTGCTATGCCAAGAAGGAGTAGAGGGGAAGAAAAGAAATGAAACAAAAAAAGACTAGAAAAATAGAAAAAAGGAAGAGCAGTAATGTGTCTTTTCAGTGTCCCTGTAACTCAGAGTGATTCTTTACTTTGGTGGACGTGTCTCTGGTGAACTCTTTAGAATTTCTTTCTTATTTTATAGCTTATTCCTCAATAGTCATGGATAAGATTATTGGTTTCTTTCCTAGAGACAGAAGCATAAGTAAAGCTAATTATTATAATTTTAATCTTATAGTGTCAATATTTTCATTGATTTTTATTTTGTAATTTCTTCCTTTCCTTCAGATTTTTTTCTTACTATATTCAGAAATATATATATGTTCCCCTACTAAATGTTCGCTAATGTGTTAAAAATGTGAAAAAAATAAGATTTGATGTGTTAAAAAATCTCACACTGCTTAAAGCTCTCACTTTAATGAAATATTTAATCTCTTAGGACTGCACTTACTGAAACTGATTTTCACTTTCTTTTCTCTTTCATTTAGAAATAGAGATCTTGCCCAACGGAACTTTATAAATATCTGTTGCCTTAGGAGATAACACTTTATTTTGGAGTTTTTTAGTATAAAAAAAAATTCAACGAAATAATACAAATATGACTACAGAAACTTAAGATGGCATGATTGTATTTTCTGGAATTCATTTCATTGAGAATAACAGATTCTATGATGATGGCTTATCCATGGTTTTCTAGTGAAGGTTTAAAAAAATTTTTCTTAAAAGTCTTTGCAGTGTTGACAGAGTATGGTGACAACGCCATCTTCATTACACAGGGAAATAAAAAGGAGTCATTTCTCCATTTCTCAAGCACAGCTTTCCCACCTCCTGGCATGCTGAATGTGAGCAAGTTACTTAATCTCCAGGAACTGCAATTTGCTCAGCTGTGAGCTGAGTAAAAGCATTTATCTCACAGTGCCATTGTAGAAACAAAACCTGGCAATACAGTTCACTACTTGTCACAGAGAAGTTATATAATAAAATGGTATTTCTTTCATTTATAACTTCAGCTGTAGATTGTCCAACTTGGTAGAA